GTAACGGATAGTAATGATCGAAGATCTACTGATTCACTGTGTAAAGCCCAGCCAACATTGTACAGCAGGCCTAGATCTGCCAAAGGTGCTATATTACGTAGTTCTTCAAAGAGACAGGATCCTTCTGAGACTTCTGAGGGACTGACACATACACATATTACAAAGAAAAACGATCATATCTGACCACGATTTGGGAAAAATTAAATAAACTCCTCCACCCGCTCGATTAAGAGCCTCCCCCGACTTAGCCCCCGCGTTTTCTTCTAAATTTGAAATAAGCTCTTCGAGGCCTAGTTCGAGGATTTACCGTATCTTCGTTTCTCTAGAATACATCGTTACAGTCTGACTTAGAACCGTTTTAGTCACCATTTTAATTTTCTTTTGTTTCCGTCTCACGAAATTCAGTTTCAACAAGGTATTTTTTTTGAACATGTTTACCTTGTGAATTACAAGCGTTCCCTGATAACATTCATATTCAGTATGTCAATAAATCACTCTGAAACGGAAGGCAGTACCATTTCTTTGTTGATCTTAACAAAACTAACCGCTTCCATCGGCTTAAAATATCGCATTCGTGGACAAATCGCGTGGTGTGGCTGTGTTTCTACCTCGAAAATATATTTCCTTTTCACCATCAGTAACCGATCAAAATTCCAGTTCGCAGTTTTCTTGCGTAATATAGGGTGCGTTCCTTTCGGAGAATCCAAAAGCGGATTTTTGATCTGAGATTCACCAGATTTCGCGACCGAATGGAACGCAAAATCCAAAAAAGGATTTTAACCATGGCAACCTCACATACCTCTGTGCATTCAATATGACGGCATCAAAACAAATGATGTGCTTTGTTATGCTTGACGAGGTCTGTGATGAAAGTATTGACAACTTGATGGGTGATTCAAATAGCGATGATGGCGTCCTGGCGTTACTCGCACAGAATCAGAGGAAGAAGCGAGTGAGAATTGAAAATTACGTAGAGTGTACAGTGTCACAGTACAGCTTGCAGACTTTCCGCAGTCACTTTCAGATGCCAAAACGAACAGTTGAGTTCTTGGAAGGATTGCTAGCTGTGGTACCTGCCTGACCGCATCAGCCCAAACAATGTGGGAGAGCCCCTATCCCACTTCGAAAGCAAATACTTTTAACTTTATGGGTCTTGGGAAACCACGAAAGTCTTCGATCTGACGATTTGACGTGACAAGGTCGAGTGCTTATCGAGTTTACAGCCGAGTTTTTAAAGTAATGAAAATAAACGGTTACTTACCTGGAACGTTGTTCCACATCGCGAAGAAAAGCAATGGCGGCACAAAGGAGACCGTCTCGTAACATACTCTCGCCAAAAAAACCGCAGATCAATGAGATTAGTTTCAAATCCAATGCCAAAGGAACGGAGCAGATCACAAATCCGAAAATCCGGATTTAGATTCGCGGATTTCAAATCCAGTGAATCTTTTCCCAGAAAGGATTCATTAGATTCAAAATCCAGATTTGGATTTGCCTAAAGGAACGCGAAATCCATTTTTAGATCAAAAATCTGTTTTTGGATTCTCCGAAAGGAACGCACCCATAATAACGAGAAACGAGAGTTTCAGTCGTAATTCCCCATTTTCGTACAAGGCAACAATTGAAAAATTGCAAATGCCACATTTGCGAATACTAATTTTTACAGTAACTGTCTAGTTTCGTCATAACATTGTCGGAGTTTACTGCTGAACCACTCGCCTGCGGCTCATAGTTCCACAGCCACTTTGACAATGTTATGATGCAATTTATCATCAACAAGAGGACAGACGCATAAAAAACTGACGTCAATTTGTTAGGTTGCCACCGCATTCAATTCTTCTGTTATTTTTTCCGCTTGTACGCATATTCTTTCCGTTAGCTTCGCATTCTTTTCGTGTATCTTCCTTTCACGTGATTAATATTCTGTTAGGTTTTTTCGCATAACTTCCTTTTGTTTCAGTCCCTTTTTTCATGCGTTTTCCCAGTATATTTAAGCATTTCCATCGTGCTCGTTACAATCTCTAGTTTTACCGTCTTCACCGCTTTCCTTCGTCGACTTCCTAGCCGCCCTAGTCATACAACGCTTGTAAGTATCATTTACCTTTGGCTTGTTACTTCTATTTCTTTTATTTTATTCGTTCATAACATTAACTTGTAATTTATTTTGATAACACCCTAACCTGTAGATTGTAATTTACAAAGAATGTAAATCAAGATTTACATACTGTAAATTAAAATTAACATGTCCATGGAAATTTTCAACTTTTCCAGTGTAAGAAATAACACGCAAACTGCGGTGACAAACATGGCAATAAAACGCATCTTATAAAACAAAGTTCATTTACTTGACGTTTCGTATGTTTCAAGTAAATGAACTTTGTTTTTTAACATGCTTTTTATTGCCATGTTTATCCCCGCAGTTTGCGTGTTATTTCTTATCAAGCTACGATGGCCAAAGAAAAAGAGTATTACAACATTGTAATTTATTTTGTTTGTAGCAACCGCTCACTTTTCATCGCTTTCGTCGCTTTTCACCGCACTCTATCGTTTATTTGTACATCTCGTGGCCTCGATTAAAGCACATGTAGTGTGTTGGGCGTTTGACTATAATATTACATTAACAATTACGAACTTTACTCTGAGTGGATATTACCTCCACTATGGAAAGAGTTCACCCCCGAACTGAAAACAATGCCGTTTCGTTCCTGTGGAAACGAAACAAAAACATAATTTCGAGCGCAGCTAACAGAGAGTAGTCGGCTTCGTTCGCCTAATTTGTTCCTATTATTGGTAGCCGGTACCCGGCAAAAACAAATATTGATGTTGACTTGCAGAAAATTGCAAACTCACCTTTGGTGTCAGGTGACGAAGGGTGTCATCGATCTCCTTCAACTGTCCTTTGGCTCTTTCGAGGTACTGATTAACTGCATCGACCCTTCCTTGCATGGCTTTTGGAAGTTTAATTGATTGTTCCTCTTTCTGTCGGTTTTCCATTTCATTAACCATGCTGAAGGCGTCTGAGAGTCTAGTTACAAGCGCCGTGTAAGGCCCAATTAGTAGAGTGTTGCAAATGTCCTTTATGAGCGCTTTGCATTGATGGACTCTAGATGTCTCTTTACCTTCGTCTTTTTCTTTTTCGATACTTGCTGCGACTTCAGAAATTTCACCAAGTTTTGTCAGTCGTCCTTTATTTTCGTTGGTTAATTCGTTGTTTTTTTTCAGGAATCCCTCGATCGTGTTCAGAACTGGTTGGTAACACGTGCTACAGTCGTCTGCCATGATAACTGCAAATTTAGCGCCTGTTAACGATAAAAAATTGGGTTTACAATTATTTCTTTTGCTGTGGTTAGCACAAAAGAGTATTTTTTTTTTACATTCATCACCCATACTAAGCCTCGGAGCCAATCTTTTCATTAAATTTTAAATTTAAGAAATATAAGTCATTTTACATTTTAAATCATAAATAAAATAAATGAATCACTTTATTTAAGTGTCAAAGTCTTTCTTTCTTTCTTTCTTTCTTTCTTTCTTTCTTTCTTTCTTTCTTTCTTTCTTTATTGTTTATTTAACTTTATTTATACACGGGTAAAACATCAGGACTTAAAGTAAATCCTAAAGTCGCATTAATTACATTGTTAAGATACTAATCTACTACTAATTATATCTAATAACAACAAAAATAAAAACATCATTACTTGTACATGATGGCGGACGGTCGCGACAATTCGGCTGCGAATACTCAAGATATTTTTGATGAAGCTCCTAGAATTTCAGCTCTACAACAAGAAGATATTACTGCTGATAGTCTTGTAGAACATCTTAAAGTGAATAAGTCTAAATTTTGTAGAGCTGGAACTTTTAGTGAGCTTATTGAGTTCACTAACAAACATCTTCATCTTGGCGACGGCGTGGCAAAGGCAATCGACAACGAAAATAAGCAGACGATTAAGTCAGGCCATTTAACTTTAAACTGGTATGAGTCAACTGGAACACTACAGGTCCAAGGGTCGAATTCATCAGTCAAGCTGTAAGACTTTTTTAAACCAATTGACCGATGGTACAAAGGGAATTGAGTTTCCAGCTCCGTATCTCCTCGACACTTCTGATGAAGATGGCGCCAATGCCGCATGTCATCAAACCTCGGGTGACCTTCCTTAGCGCCCGTCCCGAATCTGCCGACATAGTAACAAAATCTATGTTCGCCCAAGAACTGGAAAAATTTGGTCTGAAATTAAAATCCTGAACGCCAAGCTTTCTGGTGACAGCGACTTGAGTAATAAACAGGAGGTAAAATAAAAATCATCAACTCTTTGAAACAAAAGAACCAAGACTTGAATGACGAATTTTCCATCTTTTTTTTTATTTTCATTTTTTTTTATTTTTTTATTTATTTATTTATTTATTTTTTTGCAAATTTGCATCTTGAAGACAAGGTTGAATCTAGAAATTGACGCAGCGAAAAAGCTTACTGAGGAGAGGGATTCCTTGAAAACTGCACTACAAATTGCTACGAAAGATTTAATGAATTTGTCCGACGATAGGCCAATATCGCGTTCCGATCAGTTGAGTGATGATAACAGGTCTCAGTTCAAAAATGTTTGTGGCGGCGAGAAGACAAAGAAACCGAAACTTCGAGATCCACCTCAACATGTGAACCATCGGAATCGTTCTGAGCCCCTGAGACACGAGGACTAGGTGAAAGATTCTACACCTTCTAGTAATGCAGATAAGTCATTCACAACTGTCTTGGTGGGTGATTCTATGATAAAACAAATACACTGAGGGACGGAGGCTGGGTAGGAAAGTCGGCCATCGTGCGGTTGTTAAATCTTTCCCTGACGGAAACACCAACGATATGAAGCACTACCTAATGCCTGCTGTTGACAAGAGCCCTCAGCAGATTATTTTCCACGTGGGAACGAACGACTTACGTGACCATACTCCAACCGGATTAACTGAAAACATTGTGGACCTTGCCAGGAAAATTGAAATGGAATCTAACGCTGAAGCTATCTAATCTGAGCTGGTGTCAAGATCAGACAATGTTCCAAACGGTGCTGTGAAAGCTATTAACAAGCGCCTTATGAAATACTGTAATTAAAATGACTGGAGAATGATTAAGCATCAAAACATCGACAGAAATTGTCTAAATAAGAGCGGATTACACCTGAATGAAAAAGGTAATAACATCATTTTTAGTAACGTTGTGAATGCCTTAGGTAATAGCTCAATGCACTGAATTGCTATTTCCACGGGTACCGATCAAACCTCTGCAGCCGAAGAAAATTTCAATTTTCTCTCACGAGTCTTCTGGGGCCGATGAAATCTCTATCATTCGCTGCGATCGTGAACATAACGGTAGATTTGGTGGGGGAGTTTGCATCTATGTTCGATCTAATATAAACACAACATGAGAAAGTAATTAAAAAGCTTTTTAAAAACACCAATGGAGACCATAGATGCCATGCTGAAATTAATCATGCGATTAATGTCAATCAATGAAAATGTTCATTTTTATACGTCATGAATTTACCACAACTTTGTCAAGAAGATTACTTTCGTGTAAACTTTGGAAATAACTTTATCACGACTTTAAAACCAACATTCACAAAACTTTACCACTACTGCCATGGAAAGATGGTTTATTTTCAAAATTAGCTAAGTAATCTACTTGATTCTAACAGGTGAAAATAAAATAATGTGATGTGCTTTTTTGTGCACTCGTCAACATTGTTTCTCAGAAAAAGCTAATTATTTCGCTTGAATGTTCTAGCACTGTCTCCCAAAAATGCAAATTTCTCTTCCAATATGTCACAAGTGTTTATAATCATTAGTATGTTAACAGTGCCGATCTGAAATGTTGAATTGGAAGAATATCATCAAGAAAGATATAAGAAGCTATTTTGTGAAAGTATCTATTCTTAATAAACGGCAATGGAACTGAAGTCTGCAGATATCGTGGCCAAGTTCATGGTTGTAACTATGTGATTGGTATACATCAGTAAACTTTCATGAAAATAAATTCAAAATTCCTTTGAAATTAACATATACTTTAAATAGTAACGTGTAGTGATTGTTTTGATAAACCAGACGGTGAACGAAAGCATAATTAACTTGATCGAAAGTAAATTCATAACATTACTGATAGAGGTATTCAACTTATCTAATTTCCTAGAAACGCGTTCGTCATCATTCAGTTCCATTCTTTGAGCCAATATGTTACCTAAAGCGATTTATATTTAAGTGACAAAACTGATTTAAAACTCCATCAAAACATCCTTCTTTAGCTTGGACAATTGTGTTTCATTTATACACACCAAACAAATTTAACTGCTAATTTCACTTGGACAATGCAACACTGTAAGTTAGATGGCCGAGGGAACAGTTTCAGCCATGCAGGGTTTCCATGATGAAGACTGATGGTCTTGACCAAGAAGCTTGAGTTAAGCTCCGCGTATAAAGATTATAAAGATAGGTCAGTCATTTTCAAAGAGAAAGTAGAAAGCTCTTACTAATGTATCGGATGTGGATGGAACTGAGAAATGTCTTTGATTTGAATCTGTAAGGCCAGACAGAAACTGTGATTAGTTCACATAAGGTCTGTTGAATTGTTGACAGACAAGGAAACATCGGGCAATTTGGCGGACGAGATGTTTTCACAGAGTCATATCAAATTAATTTTCACAAAACGATTAGAATCGACCAAGAGAGAGAGGTCAGACTATCAGGAGAATTAAATACATCAAGAGGCACCTCAATTTGTTTCTCTTTCATTTTGAACTTTTCATTTTGAGCCTTCGCAAAACGGACCACACGAGTCAGTTGAACTAGTTAAAGCAAAATGAGCTTCAGAGCTTTATAATATTTTGAGTCAAGACGTACACAAGAACAGGAACGGATAAAGATGCATTTCGCTTAAAACTAAGATCTTTGATTTACCTAGCTACATGTAGTTTGTAACAGTGCAGTTCTTGGAATTTCCAACCCAGACGTATGTTTATAAGTAAATATGTCTTTACAATTTCGACACAAAAAGTTAATGACTAAAGCTATCGGCTGATGAAGCTATGCCTCTTCTCGGTTTTTGTTATCATCAATGCCTACCGACTTTCATCTAAACTGGACTGAATTCACCAAACCAGATGAAAATACTTCTTGCGCTATTGTCAAAAGAAAGGAAGACTTAAAGGTCTGGTTTTCCTGAGCGATCTTTAATTTTACTCGCATCGGGCCACATCTCGCTTGTTTTAGATGAAACCAAGTCAATGTTTATTAATTTACAGTCGACAGCCGGTAGTCGATGTAGAAAGAGTAAGGTTAATATAAGCTGAAAATAGCGAGCATACTTCAAATTCCCACAATTAAAACTAAATTGTCACGTCATTTAAGTTCTGAAGTTCTTATATTGAACTGAAAGACATCATTAAAAAACGACTTCTTTTTACCGAATTCACTTCTCTTATCAAGTCTGTTTCCCCCGTTCTATTTCTGTGAAATCTTGGTCCATTCTTAAAAGCAGTGAAAATATTATGCAGTATGAATTTCTACTCGGGACCGAAGGATGGCCGCATCGATAAAGAACCCGCGTCTTCACCGGTCTGTAGCAGTGTATTTTCCTGCTTATTGCGGTCTTCGTGTCCTAATCAATTTTGGAAAGTAACTAACAAAAGATCTGAGAGAAACTGAAAATAAAGTGCTCAGATTAGTCATTCAAAGAAAATCGTTGGATAACCATCTCGCTTCAACTTGAAATTTCTTCACGCAGGAGATTCAACAGGTGCAGCGTTTACAAATAAATCGTACTGGCATTTCTATAACACATTGGTCAGCTGCCTGAAATAAAAGTCTGTTAAGTAAGTCGGACGGAAATGCACCTAAGCCTTCATCACGATCTAGCTAGATCATCGAAAGTACGCGGAACAATTGCCTCTTTTAATATGATCTAGAAACGCAAGATTTTTTTGTTGCAAAACCGCCCGCAACTTTGACCGCCGTTTTTTTTCTTTTTTTTTTCTTTTTAAATATGCAGTCATAACATAACAACTCACCTGTACTTTCGACTCATTCACCAGAACAGGTAAGACGCCATAACAACAACTTACAAGTTTTTGCGGGCTGATGCCGAAGGATGCGCTCAGTTTATTCCGTTTCCAATCATGTAATTGCGCATGTCCGTCAACCAACGCCTACCCGTTGTCCTCAACTTGCCAATCAGTAAACTAGAATTATCATGAGCAAGCTTAGTTAAGCAGGTTTTATTACGCTTGACGGCTTTACTGTGGGCGACCTCTCTTAGGTTTGTCTCGTCTTTGATTACTTTGTCTTTGCTAATAAAAGTGTTGTTTTAACGTCAACTAGTTCTTGGAGTTTTGACCCAAACAAACTTCATGTCTTCGCGATCTTGCCATGGGGTTACGGCATTTAAAACGATTTCTGAAAAACAAAGAAATAAACCTCTGACGAACTGATGTCTGTTTTGGTTTTTATTGTTGTTAACTTCAATTTCATTCTCATTTTTAATACGTAAAAAGAAATCAACAGAGCGTTGACAATACTTTCAGCGTGCATAAACAATGTCAAAACGAACAACGATTAACAGGTTCTCCTAGTCCTGCTTGTTTTAGTAGAAAGTAATGCAATATTTATTCATTTGCAAATATCGACAGTTAATTTTAGTTAATTTTACCCAAAGAATATCACACACACATATCACGCGCGACTTGCCTTTGTGCAATGCCATTGTGCCCTTGAGCCAACTTCAAATTCCTAGACAATTACGCAATCAAATCTACTAAGTTTTGAAGTTTGAGAGCAAAAATCCTTCTTGATAAACGCCTTCATTTTCCGAGTTCATCTTTCTTATCAGGTCTACACTGTTTCTTTGAATTAATCCTTAGGTCATTCTTAAAAGCATTAAGTGCACGGATCATATGCAGTATAAATGACACTACTACCTTTGTTTCTGACACGAAATCTGCAGCAAATTTATTCAAATTTTGTCAAACTTTCAGGAATGCTCTGGCCTAGAAATAAATAAAAGTAAAATTGAAGGCATGTGGTTAGGCGCAGGTCACAAAAACACAGCAAAACCCCTTGGAATTCAGTGCTTGACCAGCCAACTCTATATTCGCACTGGAAATTAACATCTCGTATAATAATGAAATTGTTTACAACAGAAACTTTTTGAACAGAAACTAATCAAAATGAAAGGCCTCCTCCAAGCTCGTTTATAACACATCTGTGTTAACTTTTTCATCAAAATTCACCGCCATGGTAAATCAAACAATTACACACTTTTTAGGAATAATAAAGCTAAAATTAAATACAGAACAATGATAGGGCCGAAAGAGCAAGCAGGGCTAGACATGCCAGATTTTCAAATAATCAATGATGTCCTTAAGGCATCAGTATACCCCAAATGACCATACATGGAATTCGTTGGCGCCGCTTTACGGTCGGACATTTCACGCAAACCCCAGTAAAGTACATATTTTCTGAAAGCTTAAGAATTGTAGATTACGACTGAAGGCATATTCAATAAAATAACAAAGTTAAGATTTTCCGAATATAACGCCCTATTTCCAAAAGTACAGAGGTTCACTAATCAAGTTCGTTTCCGGTCGGATATGAGCGGGAGGACGCGATCAACATCGCTATGTCTTCTAGTGACACCTTTCTCTAAAATACCGTGTCGAGAAATTTTGATTACTTGTCTCAGTTTGTTTCTGACACACAGTTAAACTTTGAGTTTTGATAAAACATACATTCGCTTCATCAAAATAGTCATAACTTTTGAAAGCAGCAGAAAATATATATATATATATATTTTGCCCGGTTATCGGGCAACATTCTCTCCAAACTTCAGCGAAAATCTTGAAAGCTGGCCGGAAACGAACTCAAAATGTGCGCTTCACTCACTGAAATTTTCGTTTCGAGATATGAAGGAAAACATACTTTGAGGCGTTCTTCCGGTTTAATGTGTGTAAAAATAATGACGCGTTGATCGACCAAGTGAAGCGGGCTCATTTTATTTCAACAACAGAGCTCGTATCAATTACAAAGGAGTTTCAAATGTTGCATCCGGCGGGAAATTTGCTTCGCAAGATCTGAATTCTACCGCTTAGTGCGCCAGGTTGGTTAGAAAGTAATTTTCGCTTCTGTTCCTTCCCTTCGATTTTTGAAACTCCTTAGCTTAGAGATGCCGTAGACAACGAAAGAGCCCACTCATAAACAACGTGAAACAAGCCCACGAAATACCGA